TTCACTTAAAATAGCTTTGTAAATGTATTCATATAGCTATTTTAAGTGAAACACCTAGAGCCTCAAATAAGTTATAGGAAATAAATATAAAGATTCTTTGTATTCATATGCTAGTCAAAGAACAGATGAACTGTGCTTACTATTTGATTTCTGTATGAACAAGTATATATATCTGGCCAATTGAAACTAGTGGAAAGCATATTTTTGTTATTTTTAAGATTACAGATTTAATGTAAATAACAATTGATTGTGTATTTATGATGATCTTTTAAAAATTTATCTGAAGATTTAGGGATCTTGTAGATGGATCAAAAACATAGGCAAACACTACGTAGATTTTAAAATGACAACAAAGTTAGTAATAGCAATGTTTTGTTTTTAAGCCCTTGAGGATTTCATTAAAAAAAGGTGTCTGTAATCAGATAAATTCGAAATAACTAGTGTTAATTACTAGTAGCTTGCATAAAAAAAAAAAAATATGAGGTTTACTTTGGGCAATTCAAAATTTCATATTTAATAAGAAGATAAAATTATGTGATAAAATAAGTAATTATATTTTTGTATTATAATTATGAATTAGGTTTTTATCTCAACTAACTTATCAGATAATATATCTTTCAAGCATAGTACTTATGACTTTTGATATCAAGAAAGTTCATAATATACTAAACTTTAATTTTCTCTATTTTAAAATAGCTTCAAGTCAATGAGCGGAAGAATGGAATTCAGAGAAACTTTCATCTAAGTTGGAGCCCTAAGCATATTTCTCCACTTGCAAATGTTCTTCCTGTCAATACAAACTGGTCCAGCTCATCAGACACAGATTCAGACTGATCTTGTTTCTTGTGGTACTGCATCTATGGTGTATTAAGTCTTTGCTTATGTTTTTGTTTCCCTCTTTTTTCAAGGTGTGTATAGAAAGGGGACAACAGTCTTTCATTGTGATACTTCTGTCAGAAGTGTATGTGCTCGTTTTGCAGCAAAATTCCAGTTGTAAGGCTTAGCAGATAAAAATAACGCTTACTTAAGTTTCACTGTTCTACTCCTTATAAACTGTTAATTCCTGTTTTTAAAGTCTTTTAAAGTTGTTTCTTGTACATGAAGAGTTGAAAAAATCTTAAGATGACAAATGTAAAATAAAAGTTTTTTGATACATATCGTTTGCCAAGAGTCAAAACAATGACAAGGGACATTGTAATTATGGTATGCAATGACTAATTTATGTATATAAGATAATGCATAATGGAAAATATTGTCACAGTGTATGAAGCTACACACATAGCCATTCTCCCAATCAGTCTGTGAAGCATACTTTTGACAGATAGTATTCATCCAAGTGTTTCTGGCCATTATCCACTATCCCACAGCCAAATATCACTTGAAAATCTTACTTCAGTGTTGACAAAAAGAAAATACTTTCATGTCTTTGTAACACTGTATGAAAGAGATTTGATAAAACAGAACATTTCTTACCCACAAGAGACTTCTTTTGTTCGTTTTGGTTTTTGTCTCTGTAGCCTGGTCAATAATAATAATAAAAAAAGGAGCATGATTTTGCTATTATGATATGATGAATGTTGTTAGTTAGTGTCCACATACATTTTTTTTTACAACACTTCTTAAACAGCCACAGGAGAGACATTTTTGAATAATGAAATAAATGAAACATGGCATTACTGACAGATAAGACAATGAAACAACACATTTTTCAAAGATATGACAGATACTAAACAAACTTAGACAAGAAAAATGTTTGTGTTAAAATAAAAGAAGATATAGACATAACATTGAAGGTAGCACTTGATTGAAAGTAGTTTTACCAATTGACTATCTCAAATGATGATGCAAATAGTTGAAAAAATATTTGAAATAAGACAAAGCCATGTACTACAGAGAAGATAGATTTTTGAAGGAAAGCCAATCTTATAACTCCAGGAAAGAATACAAGCTGACTTGATAAGAAACGTAAGTAAGAAAAACAAAAAATTCAGTATAACAATACAGAAAAATAGGTAGACTGCCAAGCTATTAAATGATTTCATAAAAGAATGAGAAGCAGAAAAGGTCTCCTAAGGTGTTGAATAAGACAAAAGATCTACAGTCATTGAAACAGATATGATTAATGATCCAACAGGAAGAATGTTTAAATAATAATCCTGACTTACAAAGAAAATGGTAACTTGGATCCTTCTTAAACTTATCCTTACCTAAAAATAGCATCCCAAACCTCAAAAATGTAGGTCTTTGAATAATTTTATGAACAAGTTTCTTTTATTTAATGCGGTATATCCACAAAAATAATTTCACAACTTTGGTTCTTCTAGAGGTGGAAAATTAAATCATGTACCTATTATTAACTTAAATATTCTTTAGATGTAAAATTTGAAGGTTATCTTTCACTCTGTAACACTTGTCCAATGTAATGGTTTAGTAAAGTGTGTGTGTTTTTGAAACGTCGATCTTTCCTGCTAGAGAACTGCTGTGATTTCTAGACACTCAACTTTACTGCTCAAGATAGCCACTGTGTTTTTGAAACACATTTTCACTGTTTGACCTAGTTGCTGCAATATCTAGACACTCAACTTTACTGATTGAGATAATCCGTGTTTTTCAGACACCCATAGTTGCTACTTGAGATAACTGCCCATAAGTTATCTCGAGCAGTATCTCAAAAACACAACAATTATCTAAGGCAAAAAAAGAAGGGTATCTGAAAAACACATTTTTTGAGACACGTCTTTACAGCTTGGGACAACAGAAGCTCGTTAAACCTCATAAGAGCATGCTGTAAATCTGTTTGCCAATAAGTTTGGATTATCTAGTTCAGGGATTCCCAAACTTGGGGACACAAGAAAGTGTTAGGGGTCATAGGAAATACAAAAAATATATAAATACTCTTAAGGTACTTAGTATCTATAGGTTTATTAGGTGTGGCTCTCAGTCAGGATGTGGAATGTTCTTGGAGAACTTGTGCTGGGAAAGTTTGGGAACCCTTGGATAACAATATCATAAACCAGTTGGTTTGATGAAAGTTGACATTACATCCTAGCTAGTAATCATATGGGTTTTGTCATATAACAAGCTGAGATACCTGCCCTTTGGCTGGGTTATGAACTTAAAAAAATTGTGGGGTGGATGCTGTGATAAATGAAACAAAAATCCTAACTTTCACACAATTTATTTATAATGTAATATATTACAGTATTCATTATTACCTCACCAAAAGTTTTTCATAACCTTTGGTAACTCAAAATGTACAGTTAAAACATGGTATACACTGCGTGATGGTTAGTATGACATTGTAGGAAGAGGTAGTGGCGGTAGGGGTACTTTCTGTTACCCACTTTCAACACCCATCTCTTAATGTCCTTTCACAGTATTTGATGTGATAAATTAATTGACTGTCATTGGCCTCAGAAGTGTCTTATGAGCCAAAGTTGAAAGGACATTGGTCAAAGTAGGAAGTGGGTATAACTCAAGAAACGGCTTAATATACCAGCCTTATGGTCCCTGTTGGAGTAGAGACTTCAGCCGAGTTTATGTGGTACTGCAATAGTGGTGGCCATTTTTTTCATTGTATTCCTCCATAGAGAATGCTAGTGCACTCTGAGATATACAAGACGTTTGTGTGCCCTCCCCCCTACACTGTGTATATGTTGTTTATAGAACATTTAATTACATTTTTGGTGTAAGGATGTAGCACCATCCATGTATGTAGGTAAGGTTTACTTATGTCAAAGATAATAAATGAGGATGGAGGGGGTTGTGAACCTGCAGTTAACATGACCATTGTTCCAAACTATCATCCCACTAAGTTTGTGTGAGATTGGCCCAGTGACCTATTGGCACATTAACCCATGTGTTGCATAAGGTTGAAAATTCCATCACAAAAATTCTTCAAATTAGGATTTGTAGTTGGTATGACAAACACAGCATGTTGAAAGGTAGAGCCGGCTTCATACAGTCTTACATTTTTGGTTATGAGAAGTTTTGTATGGAAAAAATTAAGAGTGAAACTCTGAAGTTTTGAAAACTTTTGATAAATGAAAATTATTGTGGTAAAAATGTGAAAATGATGGATAGAAACAACAGAGCTTTGTATAAAAACGTTAGATTAACAGTTTTTGGTATGGAACAGGTACCTGATTTGTATGTGATAAAGAAGATATATTTAGATTCAGAAAAAAATATGAACCTGGTGTTAGTTTTTCCAACTTTATGCTAACAATTTAGTAATTAATTTGTCCACAACAGTGGTAGCCCTTCAGCACATGTGAAATAAGATTAGTATTATGGTAAGTTATTTATTAATTTACATGAATTGGAAGTTGTATTGAAAAATGTGAGAATTTAAAAAATAGTATGTATTCGTATAATGTTTTAAACATCGCATTCTTACAAATATTTTGAGTTATATATTAATACTAAAGTGGTTTATTCTGGATAATATTTGTGCAAAGCTAAACAAGAACTATCTGTTATAGCCAACCCTAATTTTTAGCTGATAAACTGAAAAGAGGGCAGCTAGTTAACAGCACTCATCACTGAGAACTTTTGGGTTATTCATATCTGACCAAATAGTGTGATTTGACCATTACTCTGATAGTGCACTCATGACCTTAAAATGTGGATTATGATAGTTTTTTGGCAACAGGACACAAACCATGAACCACAAACTGAAAAGAGGGCAGCTAGTTAACAGCACTCATCACTGGAAACTCTTGGGCTCTTTGTATCTGACCAAATAGTGTGATTTGACCATTACTCTGATAGTGCACCCATGACCTTAAAATGTGGATTATGATAGTTTTTGGTAACAGGATCCGAGCTTTCTAGCTACTAGGCCAGTCCAGCCGTATAGATCTTTGGTCATTAATCTTCTAGTTCTGGAGGCTGGCTAGAATAAGCCAAATGACTGTAAAAAACCCTGTCTGTATTTTGAACTAAAGATAGTAATGAACATATCAAATTAACTATCATCTTTATAATGTTGTAGGCTGTTTTTTTTTCAATATGGACATTTGTATTAATATTGGCTAAAGTAATTTTGAAATCACTTGGTAGGGGATGTAGCTGAACACCTGAGGTGTATTTAATGTTGGTGCATTGCTCCAACAGGTCCCTCATATTACTGACCCTTGAAGTAATGCAAAATAAATTTTAAATTTCTATACCTATAGCTGATCAGTACAGATTGGCCCCCTAAGAAAATTGCATCCAGTAGTTTGAAGTGCTAAAAACACCTGTGCTCAACACATGTAATTTTCTTGGAATTTCATAAAATGTGCTAAGGAAGATTATTATTGACGTTAAAACTATAAGAACTGTATTTCTGTTTTTGATTATGGATTTGTTACGAGAAATCTACAGTAGAATGTTTCTGGTTTCAGTAATTTATAACCTTATTTTAAGCATTTCATTATGGATAACCAAAATTTGTAGTGCGTTGTAAATATTAAGAAAAGTCGAGATTCTTAATCGTTAGTTTTTCTAGTATTACACCTTCCTACTTTCAAAATATGAATAAACTTGTTCATCTTTCAAGCAAAAATCTTACTATAAAGATAATCCATTATGGTGGTGTTTGTGTGTGTTAACCTTCATCACCCAGAGTTGGATAGCTCAATTACCATAATTGTTTGAATAGTGATGGTCTGAAAAGGGGGATAAAAAAAGGATGAAATAGAACACATTTTCGCTGTTTTTGTATACTTTTGGCTTGCATCACTTAAGAGTTAGCTAGCTCAATTACCATACGTATTGGAAGAAATCATAGTGAAAACACTACATTCACAGAAGTAGATTATATGGCATAGCATCAGGAGGCCCTTCCATGTGTGATGCCCCGGGCAATTGCCGAGTTTGCCCAATTGGCAAGACCGCCTATGGTAACTGGAAAATGACTGATTGTTGTACATTGGCTATTTGGTTTTAGTATTTTTGCATGAGATGAGGGATAAAAACATCCTGAAATAGGGCACATTTTCACTTTTTTATAGACTTTTTTTTGGGCTTTGAATTTAAAGACACAAGTACTTAATCAGTTAAATGAGTCCATTATTACCTTTCACAAAACAGGGTATGCAATTAGAATGTAATGAGGTCATTAGGGATTTAATAACATAAGAAAGGGGGAACATTCCCTAACATTATCCTTTATACAGTTTTTGCTTCCTTAACGGACACCGTCAGCTTGTAGATTACATCAGTGCATACCTTGTGTAAAATATAGCATAATTCCATTAAAATTTAAAACTGTGTGAAGAAAAAAATATAACCCATTGTAACTACACAGTGGGTTAAAACAATTTTAACTGAATTTATTGCTCAATCAACTATGGATTTCTTCTCTGATTTCTAAATCAAAATTATTTTTCATATACAACAGTAATTTTGGAAATTTCAAAAATATGTTCTATCCTCATTTGCTTGCATTTGTAACAGCTTTCCTTAGAAATGTTTATTATAACTAATAGTGAACCAGGAAATGCTTTATTAATTTTTCAGTTGTGGTAACAATAATAATTTCTGGTAATATTTCAAAAAATATCAGGTGTTCTTTATGTTTGAC